CCTGTAGAGTCCTTTTCCCTCTTTCTCATCTCCAAACAACATTAAAACAAATAATAAAGGCAAATTTATACCGTACGTTACGAGCCTTAAACTACTTAGGAAGTGGTGATTGGGGGGTCTCTCCTCAATTACCTAGAGTGTCCAGTACACACCCTTAGGGAGATGTGTGACACATTCGTTCCTAAGTCATAGTCTTTAGTGCGGTATGAATTACAAACATTCATAAAAAACACTTCTTCTTGTAAAAGACTCAAAAACAAATTCAAACCTTTTTCCTTCAAACTTCTTTTTCTGATAAAAAGAGTGCTGTTAAGCTTCAGTTCTATCGCAAACAAGCATTGTCCCTAACTGCTAGAACCGTTGTTTAACTTTACTCGGGTAAAAACAGATGAATCAACCTGTGTTTCACTTTATCCCAAACTACGTTCGCTCTAATCTTTCATACCAGATGAAAGTATGTAGGCACAAGACGCGATGTCTTGGCGAGCAACCTTCCCCCATCACCCGTAGTTAGCCGAACTACGTTGACTCTGATTTCTCGTTCCATACGGGAATACGTAGGCACGAAGCGCGATGCTTTGCCGAGTCACTTATTTTCTTTTCTTTTGAGCCATCCTTGATAGGTAGATAGATAAACAACCCGTCAGATAAACACAACAAGCATGGATCCCATTGAGTACAACGAACGTGAGGGGTGCTAATACCTTCCCCTTGCGTAACCGACTCCCGAACCCAGACTTGGCTGCGATGACCTTGTCTTTTCCTTTTCGTTAGGTTTTTCTGATCGTTTCCTTTCCTTCTTTGGGATAAATAACGATAGGTGGAGACTCTTCTGTCTTTGCCGACACCCTTTTTTGCAGTAGCGACAGAAGGCTTTTGAAGATGAGGTAGAAGTGTGTCGAGAGTTTGAAATGGATCATAGTTATTTAGCAGAAGAGGGATGATAAGATAAATGCTTTGAGAGGTCTTGAAGATAGCTATGAATGTCGTATATAAGGTCCGAGATCAAATGTTGAAGCAAGTGCAAAAGCTTTGTCCTGATCTTTTTGTTATTGGTGATCAGCTAGATCCCTTTGTAGAGGTTCCTAGAGAAGATGCCAGAGGTGGTCTAGGCGCTTTGGAGCCAGGCTTTGTTGTTTGAAGGTCTTTTTATTCCCTTTTTTTTATTTGTTCCTGTAAGATTTTTGTTGGGCCTTTGGGAATTACTTTGTAAGCAACATTCATTTTTTTATTTACGTCATTACCTTTTGTGTGTTTGTGCTTTTTGGTTTTGTATTGTGTTTTTTTCGAACTTTATTTCTAGTCGGCTGAAATTTTAGGAGAGCTAATACTAACATTTGAACCTTGTAGTTTGCACAATTAGTTTGCTACAAAGAGCAACAATAATATTTACTTAAACTATAAATAATCTTAAGTCTTTCGCAGGGCCACGTACGAGTGCTTTATTTGTGAGCCCCCATCAGGAGATTTCACAAGCTCAGTGGGAGGCAACACCTCATTTTCTTCCACCAACTGGCCATTACAGACCACTTTGAATAAACTCAATTGACTTAGGTCTAGCTCAAGGTAGAAGAAGTCCATTTACTCTATCTCCATCTCAAAGTTGTGGTCATAGGTGTCTACTTATTCATCTTTAAGCGTGAGTAACTCCTTATATAGCCTTTTTTTGGAGCAAATTGCCACTTAAAGATATTCCTTCATGTTTTTCTCTGATGTGATGTGAACATAAGTCTCTACAGCCACCATTGTCAGTTTGGATTTTAAATCCTCATCCTCTTTGACTAGGATTCTCACCGTCTATTGACCTTTGGAGAGGTATCCATTGGAAATGGATAAATGGGACTTTAGCTTATTTACCACTTAAGCGTGGTTTTCGCGTTGGACTCGCGCCATCATCAGGCTCTTCAGCAGGTGATTCTTCATCAAGTCAGACAACTCAGTGGGTGTCGTGTTACATATCGCCTTATAGTCTCCCGAAAAGTCTTCATGAAAAATGAGGTGGGTGCCGGTAAGCTTTAATGCATTAAACGTAGGATCCATCCACATCAAAGATTGAGGGGGAATGTCGTTCCTCATTGTCGAAGAGCTTTTGCCCGCCCTACCCTCTTCAAGGATTACTATTGTATCATCTTTGGGAGCATGATATAAGGTTTTTCTTGCTTTTGGATCTTAGGGGAGATATTTTAATAGGGGTGTGGCCTTCAACACGCCTTTTGCTCCCTCTCGTCATGAGATAACCTAGGTGACTCTTAGGACTGCCCGCCATTTGACACCAAACGTTTTTCTTAGTCAAATGTTTCTTCCTTTTAGTAAGGGGAATAAAAGACGTCTTCTCAACAAAAAAAAGGTATAAGTACAACATAACTAACATGGCATAAGGTCCCATAAGATCCATATGAAGTAATTAAAGAACACGAGTAGTGGTAAGATGTTGAACCTTCTTATGTGACATCTTGGCTTGCTTCCTAATTTAACAGTCTCCACAAATTTTACCTTTTTCGATCTTGAGATTTGGTATGTCTATAATAACTTTTTTTCTGCAATAGTCTTCCTCATGCTTCACAAATTCAGGTGCCTAAGCATCATATGCTAAACTTAGTTTCTTCAACTTTATATATGAAACATGATTGAGGTTGATTATCATAGTGGGTGACCACATGTAGCAATAGTCACTTGATACATAACCCTTATGAGTTGAGTGTGTTGTTTATCTGCAATTGTGCATTCTTCATTATTAAATTTAATGCTTAAATCCCGATCATATAATTGACTAATGTTGATGAGATTAATAATAAGACCTTCAACTGACAACACATCCTTGAGACAAGGAAGACTAAGATAGTCCAACATACCATTTTCATTAATTTTTCCTCTAGCAACAATGCAAAAGTAACATAATAATTGAAATATAGTTTGGTATTCTTCAGATTATATCTTTTACCACTCATGTATCTTGGACAACCGCTATCAAAATACAAGTTTTCTCTAGATGAAACTCTGAGAGAGGTAAAAACAATATTAGCTTGAAATTTAGGCTGACACGTACATCAAAATTGTTGAAAATGTATATCGGTCTTTACATTTCATTGAGGATGTAGTTGTTTTTATGTAGATTTTTACCATATAATTTCAATTCAAGTTATTTATTACACTCTTTCACTTGTATTTATATATAAACTTTTATATATATTTTAGCTATTTACATTTCTTATGTTAGTATAGTCTTATAATATATTTTTTAACTTTTAAAAATGATAATATAGTAATGAAACTGATTTTGTTTATAGCGTAAATACGAGTTTTAATATTGTTATATACAATATAGTTTGAGTTTAAGGGTGTGTTTGTTTTGAGGTAATGAGGACGAGAGGGGAGGAGAGAAAATATTTCTAATTAAATATATTTTGTTCAAAATTTATGAGGGGAGGGGAGGGGAGCAAACCCCGTCAAAAACACACTGCTCCCCAGATTAGGGATTTGGAAGGGAGGGAATATAAATTTTAATATTTAAAAAATTATTACATTTACTAAAATATTCTCAATTTTATTTTAGTATTTTAGGATTATTCATTTTCTTTTGTAGGATTTTTCTTTATTGCTTCCATCAATTATTTATAAAAGTTCTCCATCTTCAAATTATTTTTTTTCGTATTATTTTTATTTAATATAAATTATAATCATTTCATTTTTTTTTCTTCTGTTTTTTATAGTTTTTTTTTTTTTATGTTTATTACAACTCATTTTTTTCTTTTAATTTTATTATCCTATTATACTTTTATATTAAAATTTTAAACCATTCATTTTATGTTTTTGTTTATTACTTTAACATATATAGTAATGAGTTATTTTATGTATTTCTTTTATTAGATAATTCATCACGATTTAAAAATTGTTATTAATATATAGTTTAACTTTTGTCGAAGAATTATATTTTGAATCAAGTGTACTCAGTTTTTTTTAACATTATGTAGTAAGTTATAGTTTTTTTAATCACTCAAAAAATATAGGTTTTGTGTGTAATTATTTATGTATATGTTTATTAGTATAATAATACTTATGATTTTTTTCACTTTTTAAAATATCATATGTCTTGTATAAGATCATACGGATAAGAATATAAATTATTAATGAAATTCTTCTATTCTTTCTTGTGAACCAAATATATTTTTAATTAAAATCCCTTTATCTAATTCCCTCTCATGTTTTCAATCAAACATATATATACTATGAAAAATTAATTTTTATGTGAGAATATAAGAATGAATCTGAATTATTAAATTTTAAAATAAATGGTGGAGATTATATGTGATTTTTGTTTTTATTAAAATAAATGATGGAGGAGAAAAAAAAAATTAACACATAATCTCTATTATTTATTTTAAAATCTAATAGTTCATATTCATTCTTATATTTTTCAATAAAAATGACATTCTCTTCTGATACGTCTCACAATTACTATTTTAATTTCAATACAATAGTACATATTCATTCTCAATATATATAAACGTGGAAATGAATAAGAACTATTGTATTTCAAAAAAAAATGTTGAAATTAAAAAATATTTTATTGATTTTCTTTTCTTAATTTGAGAGAATGCATGTCGTTGAATGATTTGAGAGAATGCATGTCGTTGAATGATTTGAGAGAATGCATTTAGTTCAACGAATATCTCTGTAAAATAATTTATACATCTCGTTACATTCATATGAAAATTAGTTAAAAATTAGCTTCATAATTTAATTTAATTTTTGGACAAAAGAATCACACTATGAAGAAAAATAATTAAGTAACCTGCGTAAAGTGCACGTTGCTGGCAGAAAAGTGAAAAAGGAGAAAACTTCTCACTCTATTTAGGGTTTCAATTCCCAATCCAAACACTCTCAACAATAACCGGAGTGAAATCGATTTAGAATTCCCATTCCAAAACCTCTGAAAAACGGTTCTCAGCGATTCCCAGTCTCACCAACCAGAACAAGAAAATATTAAAAAAGAAGCGAAAATGGTGACGGCAAATCCAGAAATGGTTGTTTACTGCTTCGACACCCTGGTTGCTCACTACAATGGTGACCAACCTCCTCCTCCTTCCTTCGAGGACGGCCAACAGTAATTTCTTTCACTCTTGATAATTTTTTATTTTCTCCGTGCATGTTTTATAGTTTGAATGTTCGCATTTAAGAATTCAACCGTTGATGTGTGAATTTTCCTTTTTTAATTTTTTTTAACTTTGGGATGTTGAAGAAAATATAATTCCTTTTCAGATTTCCCCTTTGTGTTTGTGACTCTGTTTGAATCTAACTCCGGATGTAACGTCATGTTTTTGTGATAGAGGGAATAAGTCTTTAAAGTAGTTGTCAGGAAACTTAAAACCTTGATGGGTATTACTTAATATTGGTCTGGTTTGTCAAAATTGAAGCATAGAACAACAACCAACAACCAAGCTTTATCCCACTAAGTAGTGTTGGCTACATGAATCAACTTTCGGCATAATATTTTATTCAGGACCATGCTTTTATCCAAATTGTTAATCTCGGCCACATGATTTGTCAAAATTGAAGTATATGGCCATTGTTCTGTTTTCAATGTGCTTTTGTATTATCTTGATGATCAAGTATGTAAAATGTTGGATGATTAAATAGTTTTTGAATCATATGAAACTTTGCTGCTTTGATCTACTAAATGAGAACTTTAAATTCAAATTTTGCTTTGTTTCAGCCCCTTGTTTGTTACATGGAAGAAAGTGGTAAACGGTGGAGAGCCTCGTCTTCGTGGATGCATTGGTTCTCTAGAAGCACGTGGTTTGATCAAAGGCTTCAGAGATTATGCGCTAACTAGGTGTGTTTGTGTGTTAGTAATTGAAGGACAATTCATTAGAAAAGTACCTTTTTGTAGTGAAATTAATGAACATGGTTAAGATAGGATTTTGAGTATTATTGGGTGTCCAAGTCCCACCCCCGAGTATTATGAGATGAGCAATAGATTATTTACGTGGCCTGGTTCTTCTCCCTTAGATAGTTTTTAAGGCAGGTTTTTTTAAGTGGTTGGATACTTAATATAAGTTAGCAATTAGTATAAGAGTTTGGTTTTCGGTGGCTAGGAAAAGGCTACCTACAGCTTGGTGGAACCTTAAGGCTGAGTTAATTGTCGTTGAGTTTAGCAGCCGTGACACTGGCTCCTTGGGGAAGTGCTAGGATAGGGACACGGGTATTATGGGGTGACCAAGCCCCACATCAAATAGTATGAGAGGTTTAATGAATCATTTAAGTGGCTCGATTCTTCTGATAGCCAGATTTTAAGGAAAGGTTCCCCAAGTGCTTGTATACTTAACAGGTTCAAACTTCAAACTGCAAGAGTACATTATAATTTACCATGAATACATGCATATACCTTTTTATCTCATATAAAATGGAACTTTGAGCATAAAGGTTCATATTGTAGTTGTGAATATCATCTTCCATTTTCTTTTGGAAAATTTCCAGGCAAGTGTAATTCAACTTTCAGATTTCTATGACCTTTGAGTGGCCTAAAATATGTAAATTTATCACTTATCTTGCAGCGCTCTTAGGGACCGCAGGTTTCCACCTATAGAAGCTAGGGAGCTTCCTCATCTGGAGTGCACTGTCTCTATTCTTACTAACTATGAAACTGCTAATGACTACCTTGATTGGGAGGTATGTACTAGTTTATTTGATCTGGTTGTTGGACAGAAAATGAATGTAGAAATGTTATTTAACCTATAGTAGACTACAATTTTCCTGTTCAAATTAGCTACAAAATCATTTATTTTTGTCTCTATCTTTTACTATCTCTGTCCCTAAATTAGAACCTCGTCGAGTAAAACATGAGAATTATAAAAGTTGGCTGTGGTATTACATATGTCGGCAATTCGTATTATTTTACAAGTTCATCATTCATGAGAGAAATTTAGTCAATGTTTTCGTACAATATTTATTACTGATTGGAGAAAAAAATGTAACATATTTATGGGTAGGTTGTTGGTAAATAAATATGGGTAGGTTGTTGGTAAATAAATATGGGTAGGTCTTGTAAAAGGGACAAAGAAAACTCAAGAGGGTTCTATATTTAGGGACGTAGGTAGCATTACTATTTTAGAGGATGGGGCGAATGACTGTTATTAATAATTCAACAATTGTAGCAAAACACAAAAGCAATTCTATTTTCTTCATTTTCATACTCTTGCTCTCCCAATTATCTGGAGATCACATATGGTTTACTTTGCTCAATTCTGCCGTTTTTTGTTTTTGTTTTTTCGTTTCATAATTTTAGAATAAGACGGGGCACCTTATGTAGAAGTTGGAGCTGTGATATCTAGGAGGTTACAAGTTTAAGTTGTGGAAACAGCCTCTTACAAATGTAAAATAAGGTTGCCCTACAATAGATCCACAATGAACCTGACACTTCTTTTTACCCCAAGCACCAGGCTGTCTTTTTGAAAATTAAAATATAAACACTTCCATTTTTACTTCTGATCCATGTAGCCAACTCCTTTTAATTAAAAATCATAACTTATTTTATTATCTTGTATGTGTAAAAAGTCTAAGGCTTAATGCTATTAGCCTTTTTGATTTGGAGGTTAAAGATCTTATTTTGAATTGCTTTATTTTGAAAAGACTTGTATCATTTTCAAGAATTTTTTACCACCAATTTGGCTGAGCATAAGTAGAATTGAAGTACCACTTGTTTTAGTTATTTGTTTCTTTTTAATCTAACTCTCAGTGTTAGAAAACAAGTAGAATTTAAGCGTCATTATATGTGATTGATTCACACTAATTTTTATCATTGAAGTTTACTTTTTTTACCAAATCTATCATGACTCATGTCATTAAATTTAATCTAGATGAAAATATTGCCTTGTAATAAAACAAAACTCACCTTCCGGAACATAGTTTAACTTAACAATTGGACGGGAAAGTTAAGGTTAGATCTAGATCTAATATCAATAACATGGCACTACTAACTTCTTGAGTTATTTTTCTAAGCCTGTTCTGGAGGATTTGATTTGTATATTGCTTTTGAGAATAGTCTTACTATGAACTTTGAGGTGGAGGTTACAAGGTCCGTAATTAAGAAAGTGGACAGGGAGAAGGCTCTTTGTTCTGATCGATTTTATTATGGTTTTGTTTTAGGTTCTTTACATTACACTGTCTTTTGCATATTCAGATTCTGCTAGTTTCTTTCTTGCAGGTAGGAAAGCATGGTATAATTATTGAATTTTCTGACCCTGACTATAACACCAGGCGAAGTGCCACATACCTGCCTGAAGTGGCTGCCCATGAAGGTAACTTATGTTTGCCATTGAGCATTCTTCAACATTTGGGAAGTGAAGCTAGTAACTAGGTTGCACTTCGCACACACAAAGTTGTCGTGCATATTATGTTTCAATTTTAACAGAAAGTTCATTATAAAAAAAGAGGTAAAGTACATGTGTAAGGAAGATAAGAAGCAATTCCAAACTGAAAAATGAAATATATATCAGAGAACTACAAAAACCATAAATTCAGAGGAGCCACCCGATATATGTTCATATTTTCGGATCAGTTATTAGACAATTCTAAACTTATCAGACGACAGATAGAGCATATGCACTGCTCTATTATTTGCTGGAAATCCTCAAAACAAACACACTTCTATAAATAAATTTGATCATTAAAAACATTTTGTATCTTACTCTCAGCTTTTCTAGTCTGGATGCTCTTCCTAATCCCTAATCGTTTGTGGTGAAAAATGGGTGGTAGACCAATCATGCATTCCATGCTTATCCATGTTTGCTTGGGTTTCAGGTTGGACTGTAATAGAGGCGATTGATTCTTTGATACGTAAAGCAGGCTGCAACAGTAGAATCACTGAGTCACTCAGGAAGAGCATACATCTAACCAGATACCAAAGCACCTTATTTACTATGCATTATGGTGAATATGTTTCCTATGTGAAACAGGCAAGAGGTGAAGCTCCATCCATTGTTGGAGCTAAATTGCCTAGCTAGTTTTTAATGCTTGCATAGGTTTGATTGTAAAAGAAGGAATACAGTTTCCAAAAGAAAAAACTCTGCAATTTGTTTTTCTTTCACTGCTGATACTAATGCCAGCTCTTCACTTTCTTCAATTCATTTGATTTTGAAGAAATTGATGTCTGTCTTATTGAAATTTTGAATATTAGAGATGTTGTGATCATGGATATTATAATGTCAAAATAATAGTGTGTGCAAGTAATTTGTGTAGTATTGATAGTGTGTGCAAGTAATTTGTCTTGTTAACGGTAGTATTGATGATAATTTGTGTAGTATGTGTTAATTGGAAGTGGCTGGTGAAATCAAGTGGTGTAGTATGTGTTAATTGGAAGTGGTTGGTGAAATCAAGTGGTTGATAACATGACAAATTAAGGACATTCCTTTGATTTGGATTTTAGGATATTTAATGGGGTACCTATGGTTCTCTCACTTTTCTATGTGGCTGATGTTCTTGTATTCTAAACTATGTGTAAATTGACGCAATACAACAGAATGAATCATAATGAAATGAAGCTGAATTGGATATAGATTTTACTCAATTATTTGACTATTTTATTGAAAATATTTTATTTCATTGAATATATCTCAAATTAAAAATATTTTATTTGACTATCATGTTCAATTTCATTTTATCCATTGTTAGCAATTACAATGACTCCTTTCTATCAATTTCCATCAATTCAAATATAGTTTTGTTTAGATAAGCTAGCTCATGATAGTTGTGAAAGACATTAAATATGAGAAAACAAGAACCAACGACATTCCACTTATTTACATTTAAAAAGGTTGAATTTCAATCACTAAATTATTTGACAAAAAAAATACCATAGTTTTTCTCCGTCTCCATTCAATGAAAAATTTACATAAGAGTCATAATCTAATTGAATTAAAAATTACATATTACTATAAAGATCTCTAATTTATGGTGTATTTGGTTAAAATTTACATTAGAGAACTCTAATTGAATTAAAAATGACAAATTGCTATAGAGATCTCTAATTTATGGTGTATTTGGTTGAAGTTACGGTGAATCATGTTCCTCTTTAACTTTTAACATTTACATTGCGGTGTTTCTAATTCATTGTGATTTTTTATTTATCATAATTTTAATTTTTATAGAAACTAAAAATAAGATTAAAAAAAGATCAAATTATTAAAAATGAACTCACATATAGCTTCGGTTTTAAGGATGTTAGTTAATTAACACTTTGATTGTTTTCATGGAGAGTGTGAATAACTATATTTTTGATATATTCACTTAAGATATCTTTAATATTTTAAATTAACGGTGTATGTTTATTTTATTTTATTCAAAACTGAGGCTGATGATATTGAGACAAGAGTCAGTGTAGCATGTCAAGTCAATGATTCTCATACATTTGTCTAATGATAGTACTTTGTAAATTATCCAAAATGATGATATTGAGACAAGAGTCAGTGTAGCATGTCAAGTCAATGATTCTCATACATTTGTCTAATGATAGTACTTTGTAAATTATCCAAAATTATATCTGAAGAATATTTAAAGAGTTTGGTATGAAACTAGAGAAGACACACTTATAAGTTCTAGAGGAGGCGTGAAAGGTCCCACCAGAGTCAATATGAATTGATGTGTTATTACAACTTTCATAAACATTAATAATATTAATAATATGTAGTAGAAGTTGCGGAAATTTCACTAGATAAAATAGGTGTTTGTTTTCTATGTTTGAGTTTTATTGGAGCAAGTGTGAAAGGAGTTCACCATCGTGGGCAGCTAATGAAAGTTGATACAAGGAAATAGTTTTATGACACACACACACACACGAAGTTACAACATCTCTAAGTCCACCAGAGTCTTGTGATAAAGAGTATGTCTGTACCATGAATCTCATTTTTAATCCAAACATTTTTATCTTGAGTAAAAAAAATTTTATAAAAATTAAACTCAAGATACAACTAAAGATTTCTAGTATTTGTATAGTCACAAATACAACGAAGGAAAGAGTCATCCAATATGCCAAATCTAAAACATAGAGTTGATTAGACCATGTTGCGTTGGTGAAGAAGAGATGGAGTGAGAACATAATAGTAACAAGCAAGGCAAAAAGGAAGAGTTTCTATATTCAAAGTCAAGGTTGAGTTTTCGTGTTAGGGTCATATAAATCTTCTTTGTTGTGAATGATTTAAGAGTATTCCCTCTTAGTTGTGTAAATACCACTTATATGATCATAGCAAATAAAGACATCTTCTATATTGGGGTTGAAGCAAATATTTTTGGTGGCGAATTCAGTGATGATATGATGAGGTAACTAAGTGTACAAATGGTGGATGTGGGGAGGTCTCGTCGAGTAATACTTTTTAACTGCTAAATTAAGATCATGGATATGCACAAAGTCAACAAGAGCAACCAAAAGGCCAAGAGAAGTCTTATGGCTATACTAGAAGAAATATGAGTTTGACCCATGCCTTAAATCATATCCATCTTTTAGCATATTCTTTGCTATAATAATTGAATTCTAAATGGAGGTAACTATAGTCGCATAAAGGGGGAGTAAACACGCAGCAAAAATACTTATGAGATAGAAGACATACATAAAGTTTATAAGTATTTTGAAGCATCTCCCAAATCAATTTACTAAGGAGTTTTGGCATATCTAGTTGATCGAACCTAAGCCACCAAATTTCTCTAGACGTGCAATTTTTTAATGGACCAAACAAATATCAGTGGTGGAAGTAACATTCCAAATAAAGTTTCGAGTCATACGATTAATCGTGTGACAATTTTTTTAGGAATTCAAGCGTAATAAAACGGGATTTAGGTGAGAAAGATATATACCATCTCTCATCTTTTTGCTTGTTTAACAATGTTACAAAATTGACGAATATGAGTTAAAATGTGTAAGACATAAGAAATTCTCACCCTTCAATTCCATTTCACACCTTTCCCAAACACTCATAATTCATAAAAAGGCAAACATTCTTCTCTTTATCATAAACATTCTCCTCCTTAGTATCATACTGTTGAGAAACAAGTGTTGTGTTAATAAACATATGTGAGTTCTAAGTCCCATATTGATTAGAGAAGTGGAGGTTAAGTCTTTTATAAGTAAGAGGACCCATACACCTATCACCTTAAGGTTTTTGGTGAATATGTGGTGTCTCTCTCACTTGTTTGGGTGAGTCTTTGACTTTTAGGTGAGTGTTTGACCCAATGTGAATGCTTCCCCCTCATGATGATTCATCAGTGGTATCAGAGTCTGGTTCGAGTAAGGGACTAACTCCTTGTGTCGAAAGTCTTTCTGACACGGTGGTCAGACATGTGGATAAAAGAGATTACGCTTGAGGGGGAACATATTGGACATATTCACACTTTAGGGGGAGATTGTTAAGAAACAAGTGGCGGAACATATTGGACATATTCACACTTTAGGGGGTGGGGGAACATATTGGACATATTCACACTTTAGGGGGAGATTGTTAAGAAACAAGTGTGAGTTCTGTCTGACTTGTTTGAGTGATTCTTTGACCTTTAGGTGAGACTTGTTTGAGTGATTCTTTGACCTTTAGGATGACCCGTCAGCAGTTACAATTTTTGGACGGAAAAATTGCAAACGAAAAATTGCAAACCCTCAAAACAAACTATTTCTAAACAGAAAAGTAGAAAACCCTCTCAACAAACTATTTTTGAACGGAAAAATAGAAAATCCTCTCAACAAACTATTTTTGAATTGAAAAATTGAAAAACATCTCTAAACACACAATACCCAAATCCTCAATACACCCACAGAGGAAATTTTACCCCATACTTCTACAATTATACCTATACCCCTACACTAAAAATTTTTGGACTAAAATACCCTCGTATAAATAATTATATATTTTTTCGTTTGTTCACCGGAAGACTTTTTGCAAGTCTTCCGGTTCATGTTTTTTTTTTAATTTTTAATTTTTTTATTAGAATATTAATGGAAAATTAGTGAAAAAAATAACATATTCGTTTATTATAGATAACGTTGAAAAACCAATACTTAATAAGACTTTTTTTCAAAAGAGCAAATGAATATTTTTTAAAAGTTAATATATTATATTTGATTAGCTTCCAACATAATGAATTAATTATCAATTGTATCTTTATTCTACGAATAATTATTCAATAATGATTAGAATATTAATGGAAAATTAGTGAAGAAATAACATATTTGTTTATTAATGGAAAAAAAATTAAAAATTAAAAAAAAAACATGAACCCGAAGACTTGCAAAAAATTTTTCGGTGAACAAACGAAAAAAAACATGAACCGAGAGACTTGCAAAAAGTCTTCCGGTGAATAAACGAAAAAAAATATGAACCGGAAGACATACTTAAAGTCTTCCGGTAAACAATCTAAAAAAATTATATTTATATGAGGGTATTTTGGTCCAAAAATTTTAGTGTAGGGGTATGGGTATAATTGTAGGGGTATGAGGTAAAATTTCCACCCAAAGATAGAGGTGGCAAAACGGGCCGCCCGCTTCGCCCCGCCGTAAGCCCGCAAAAAAAAAAGGCGTGGCGAGCAAACCCGCCAAGTAAATCTGGACTTAAAAATCTAGCTTGCCCCGCCAAGGTGGCAGGATGGCGGGCAGCGGGCTTGTCCGCCTATTTATTTATTTAATAGATTAATATGCTTAATTTTACATTCAATTAGATTTTTCCCTTATCTTTTAGAATCATTTTTATAAAGCATTTTTTACACAAAATTTGCTTTAAAAAATATTGTACATACAAAAATGATATTCTTACACCCATTTTTACACCCAATACTTACACCGTATGCACTGTTCACCGTATTTATACGGTGAACAATATTTTTTTATTAAAATAATATATATTTTTTAAAATATTAATTTTTAAAAAAAAAATATTTATTTTTAAAATTTATTTTATAACACAAATATAGTATTGCGCATTAACCAACTTCAGAGTTGCATTAACCACAAAAATCTACATCATTAACCAATTATTTTACCTATAATTTATTAACCACTTTCATTGCTTCATTAACCAATAAAATACACACTATTAACCATATTCTGAAGAATTTGGTCAAATATTTGTGAACAGTGAATTGGGTGTAGGGTGTAGAAAATGGTGTCAACATAGCAATCATATTAAAAAATAAATGTATAAAATAGAATCATCAACAAGTATTTCAAAACTATAGTTCAAATGTTAACCTTCAACCAACCAAAATAAATATTTTGAGTGCTTGATAACTAGGTTGGCTGGTCAACCCGTCCCTTTTTTGGCAAGCTTAAGGCGAAGCGAGTTTAAAGCAGGACGAACTAAGCGGCACAAAATTCCAAACCAATCCGCCATCTTTTGGCGGGTGCGCGAACCTTCCTGACTGGCCACAACCCGTTTTGCCACCCTACCCAAAGGTACATTTTACTGTTATGTAGAAAACTAAAACTAATTTTCTCTATTTATATTAATACTTCAATTCTATTTTATTCCTACTACCTGATGGGAGACCTGGGTGAATAAACTATTTGACCCATCAAATCCTCCATTCATCCAAAGTCTCATATATCTTCACTTTATCTTCAACTTCATATTCGAAACGATCGTTATAATAATAATAACAATTAGGCATACTTGTAAAATTATTACTCTTCAATCTTTTTGTCTTATTCCTCCCATGATCAAAATAATTGTCACTCTTCCTTCCTCCCTTGATCAGAACCTTAGAAATAAGTGTTGTGGTAAGAAACAAATGTGAGTTCTAAGTCTCACATTGTTTAGAAAGTGGAGATTAAACACTTTATAAATAAGAAAACTCAGCTATTTGTCTCAAAGGATGGACCCATGCCCCCACCACAATTACCACAATAGTAATATAAGTAATATAGTTAGATATTAAATGTGCTAACAATTAATAACAAGTTTTACCAATAGCCCCCACTTAATTAATAAATAATGAATAATTTAATTTCTCAAATATATCATTCCATTACATTTAAAATGTAATTACTTAGTATTCATGTTTTTTAAATAATTAGTTCCATATATTAAATAAAATAAATTTGTTAAATAAAATTTAAAAAAAAATATTTTTTTTCTATTATTATTTATCTTCAATTTTCGTTTTTTTCTTTCTCTCAATGTAAAGTACTTCTTTGCTACTCATTTCTTCTCCAATGTTATCTTTTAAAAAGTAAATTTTTTAATTTTAATCTTTATGACTTTATAACTTACATTGAAAGAGATAATTTTGTTAATGTTAAAAATGAAAAAATCATTCAATATTTTCAAAATATGAAAGATCATAGAGAATATTTATGATGTAAATTATATTTTTGAAAATTAAATGTTATATATATATATATATATATATATATATATATATATATATATATATATATATATATATATATATATATATATATATATATATATATATATATATATATATATATATATATATATATATATATATATATATATATATATATATATATATATATATATATATATATATATATATATATATATATATATATATATATATATATTGACTCCACAACACAAAATTTCTGGCTTCGTCCCTGCATACATATATCACTTTAAAATTTTAGATAAATATGTGGTGTCTCTCTCACTTATTTAGATGAGTCTTTGATCTTTAAGTGAATGTTTAACTCAATATAAATATTTCTTCTTAGGGAAATGCTAACGAGTGTCCTCAGGACATTGATTAAGAGATTAAAATGGTAAGTTGAACATTATTAAAGAGATTGAAAATACATTTTTTTTCTTCTAAATATATGTGTATTTAATATCCCGAAAAGAGAAATAATCAGACTTTTTAAAAAATATTGTATGTATTGAGTGAATAAAATATAACATATTTTCCTTATTTGGAATTCTTAACTAGTACCCTAGTTAGCATGACCCTTCTTCTTATGATAATCCATCACACATCTTACACAACATCAAATTGTATTTGACGTAATATAAACTATTGTGAAAATTATTTATTCTTTATAAATTTTTTTTTGACATCTATACATTTTCTTAATTGATAAAATTCCAATACTAAACACTTCTAAATCTTTTTTTACTCAATTTCTTTTAACTTATAAGTTATCTTTTGTATCCATTTCTTCTAAAATTGGTATTAATTCAGATGATAAAGAATGTCATCTCGAAGTTCAAATATCTAAAATAAAAATATAAAATCATATTATTTATAAAAAATATAGAAAATTACCCTTTTCAATTAAAATAATATAACTAGATTATTATTATTTTTTGACAAATAAAATGATACTATAACACAAAATAAAAAATGTAAAATTGAACATTTTTAAATTAAAAACTTTCTAATTTTAATTTCTAAATCTTTTAAAAATCAGTTTGGGTTTATTGGTTACTTAAGTGTTAATTAATCAATAATTACACAAACCTCTTCTACCACGTAGCTTCACGTAACTGATCAAACTGAAAACGCTGTCGTTATTAATACCCTCACTTTCTATCTTCTTCTTCTTCTTCGATCAAATTCATCTTTCGCATCGAATCAAACCACCGATTCTCGATCTCGTTTCACTTCAGGTTCTTCTTTCTTCTTCTTCTTTCTTCTTCTTCTCTTTCCTTAATTTTACCTTAACAATCCAATTTCACCTAGATTCGTAAACCTTATGTGGAATCGTTTAGGTTTAGTTTCTGACTTCAATTAGGGTTATTGATTGTTGTAATTTGACTTTATTTGGGTGAAATTTTCTGATTGATTTTGTTATTTACAGTTTGATTAGGTTGTTGTGGTGATTGTGGTGATTGTATTGTATCTTCTAGCTGTGTAGTTTTTTTGTTGCTGTGGAAATTGGAGATGAGTCAAAGGGGTTTGATTTATAGCTTTGTTGCCAAAGGAACGGTTGTTTTAGCAGAGCATACTCAGTATACAGGAAATTTCAGTACCATTGCTGTTCAGTGTTTGAACAAGCTTCCTTCAAATAGCACCAAATACACTTATTCATGTGATGGTCACACTTTTAACTTCCTCTTAGACAATGGATTTGGTTAGTTTTTACTCTTTTTGCTTCTTTTTGCTTCTTTTTTTATGTATTATTTGCTGTTTTGGCTGTTAAGTTAAATTACATGGGTCAATGTGTGTATGATATGTATGATATGCAGTTTTCCTTGTTGTTGCTGATGAATCGATTGGAAGGAGCATTCCTTTTGTATTTCTGGAACGGGTGAAGGATGATTTTAAAAAGCGTTATGGTTCTAGTATTACGAATGGAAGTGGCCATCCACTTGCTGATGATGATGAGGACGATGATTTGTTTGAAGATAGGTTTAGCATTGCGTATAATCTTGACAGAGAATTTGGGTTGGTTTATGCTTGATCCCTTTGTAAGTTTTTGTTGGCTTTTTTAGTTGTTTGTTTTATAGTAGTTTGATGTTGTTGCACAGGCCAAGTCTTAAGGGGCATATGCAGTATTGTTTGACCCATCCTGAAGAAATGAGTAAACTGTCAAAGTTGAAGGCTCAAATAACTGAGGTCAAGGGAGTAATGATGGATAACATTGAGAAGGTATGTGATTACTAAACCTAATGACACACGCACACACACTTTTGGTTTCTATCATACGTTTTTAGCTTTGGTATTTAGTGTAAATACTAAATAGTTCGTCTCTGGATCTACTGTTCTCTTTTCTGTTCAGTGTTTAGGCCTGTAAATCATATATAAGGGAGTATGACATTAGTATTGCTGTTCTGTTTCAAATATGTGGATTTTAATTTTGCTTCATGGTGGTGCTTGTAAATTATGTATTTAGATCTGTATGATCTTTCTGAAGATTTTATTTTTGGATAGGCCATGACATCATTTGATCATCTAATTGACTCCACCTAGGCTATGTTTGGATAAAAAATCTTAATTAAGCACTTATAGCATAAATGCTTATCATATAAGTGCTTATGTGTAAGCTATTCCTATAACAAAAGATAAAATAAAGTCAAGTGATTTTCATATCAGCTTAAGTTGTTTTCAAAAGCTATCCTAAAGAGTTTATGTAAATAAGTTGAAACTTGAAATAGCTTAGGGACAATGTCATAAGTAGGGGTGTGCAAAATGTCCGGTTGTTAGGCCCAAATCCATAACCAAATCAAAATCCATTTTAAATATCCAAATATAGTTGAATGGTTTTCAATCGGTTTATTTAGTAATGGTTGGTTATCCATCCATATTTTAAGTTTGGATCCGGTTATAATCCAGTTATTATCCAAAATCTAAACTTAATCCAAATGTTTAAATTTCAATCATAAATTTTATTGAATACATACAGTAGCTAATGCTAATATAAAATTAATCACGCTAATTAACAGTAAAACATCCAATTTATTTGACACCAGGTAATATGTTTCTGAAACACTGTTTCTTATGTGATAATTTCTGATTAACCCATAAAATATTGTGTCTTAATTTTATAATAGACTGACTCAATTTATTTGTTCATAATATTAATCATTTATTCTTTGTCTTTTAATTGTTTTCTGAATTGAAATTTCTACACCGCAACACTTCATGTAGTGTTTCAGAAACATATTATCCAATTAAGGGTCAATTTAAATCCAACATAATTTAATAATCATTTAAATCAGTTTTTTCCCCTTAAAATACAAGTTTTGAAAATAAATAATAGCCAATTTTAAGAAATAACTGGAAATAAATAATAGCCATTTAAATGGGCTTAAAAATGGTTATGGTTTGGTTTCTTAAAAAACTAACCATGCACACCCCTAGTCATAAGCTGTTTCTATTAGCTCTTCCATGCTTATAAGTTGATCAAAACAGACTCCAAGTGTGAAAAATACATTGGTGTTTGTTATGTTTTTCTTACCTGGAGGGACTCATGAAGCAACAACAGCATGAGAGCTCGACTTGGATACTAAACTTATTTATTCTGCACATATGATTGTATGTATAACACCCAATGGCCACTACCATTATATTTTACCATCTTTATGTTGTCAAAACCTTTGAAAATGACACATCTGACATTCACCAAGCGAGATAAAGAGTTATGCAATTGAGAAGCACCCACCCAACCATGTGAAATACTTAGCTTCTAACTTAGTCCATTTAATATTGATTAAGGCGCTTCCTTCTTACATTTTTTTTCTGTGTTTTAAGGTTTTAATATCCATCACATAGCTTTGCTAGCCTTACTGCATTCTTTTCTTGTTTGATCTTTTTTTCTTTTGCAAACTCTTCCTCCCAACACATGAACACAGCGCGCAATTGCAATTGTGTTGGGTTGCATGCTTCACAATTTGCAGCCTAACAGATTTCCTTAAGGTCAATTGATGTGGCAATGGCATTGCTTCACTTTTTTATTGCTGATTTTTATTTTCAAGCTATTTACAATGATTTTGTAATCTCAGCGAATAAACAATTGAGTATATTAAGATGGCAGTAAGCATTCTTCACTTCTTGTTCAATATCGTAGAGATAGGAATATTAGGGCTGATGAGTGCACATACAACACTACATGGGATTAAGAATGAATGCATTAGTGCGAAAATCAGGATAGCTCCTACTGTGGCAAAGATGGCAATATAATAATCACTGTTAATGGCTTGGGTATGTGTGAGTGTGAGTATGTACCTGGGTAAGGATAATAGTTTAGATAGAGGGTATTCTAACAGTTACAAGTAATGAGAGGCCTAGAAGATTTGTAGGCTAAAGTCCCCAACCATTATGAATGTTAGGTTTACATGATTTGTGTTTAGACAATGTTTGGTCGTCATGACAGCATTTGACCCTGTTACTTACTCCCTAATGGGAAACGACTTTATTTGTTTGTGTGACATTTATTACTTTACATTTTTCTTGTCGCCTCTTTACCCTATTTTCAATTACAATTACTCATCATTATTGCTCTAATGCCTGATTTTGTACATTCAACTTAGTCAATTGACTATAGTTTAAAATTATTCGATTCATAAATTTAAGAATACAAAATGCCGACCTTATGTTCAATAATAAAAAAAAATGCTTAATTTTTTTACTTTTCTTTATGTCACTGGTGTGTTGAACCGTCCAAGTGGGACTAGATGAAAACTATGATGGTTGAGCCTTTTATGCACACATTTGTAAAAGACATGTAACCCCTGTTAATTGGAGCCACAGTTATTTTGGAAAGTTTTCTAGTGATGAAAACTTCGAATAATACTTTATCACATGCATCATATATTATACTAATCTAGCTAGTAAAATTTACATGGCCAATACAAGAAATGATGCATTCATCTCAGTGTTTGATTGAGGCGTACTGACTAGTATTTGGATCCCATTATCTCACTGGATCAACATGATGGAGAGAGATAAACACAACTTTTGTTGTGTAGGAAAGAAACCAGCCATGATGAACGTCCTCTGGCTATGTTTTGAATTGTCTTCACCTTTGTAACAGCGCGTTCTCTTATATTTAACAAGAAGATAAATTCCAGATCCATATTAAATGCAAATGTCCCTTTTAGGCGATGGCTTTATAAGATGAGTTTAATTTGTATGTTACGCTGTTAGTGTAAAAAGTTTTACATTGTCAATAAATCACTGGTATATATGACTAGGTGATTATGATTGATTGTGTAAAAAACCTTTTACACTGATGGTGTACATGAAAAATTTCTTGTATGGTTTGCCTGGGTTTGATGCTTTGATTTGATTTAATAATTTTCCTTTTGATGATTACTCATAAAATATAACAGCTTATAAGAATAAGTTTAGTAATTGTGACAGTTACACCAACAGATAGGATGCTTACTCCCTTAGTAAGGTTGGGATACTGAAGAGGGTCTGAGTCCAGTTGGATACTTAAATTGGAATATACTTTATTTTTATGCTGGATGATAATCAAGGCAGTGTTTGCTGCATTAAATTCGAATGTATAGATGATTTATATATCAGTTACATCAAATTGGGAATCAGAAGCCATTTAATTTTTTTTTACAGTTTTCTTCTTTCTAAATATGTTTGTGAATACTAAGCACTTTAAAAACATCATTTGTACTAAGCACTTTAAAAACATCATTTGCACTCACTGTTTTGAAGGTTTTGGATCGCGGAGAGAAGATTGAACTTCTGGTGGATAAAACTGAAAACTTGCAGTTCCAGGTACTAATTATCATCAAAATCCAAATATCTCTGAACTCTGAAGCAATCTCTGTTGATGTAATTTCATTTATATTGCATTAAAATTTAGGCCGACAGCTTCCAGAGGCAGGGCAGACAGCTGAGAAGGAAGATGTGGCTGCAGAATCTCCAAATGAAGCTGATGGTGGGAGGAGGAATCCTTATCTTAGTTATAATATTATGGGTTATTGCTTGTGGGGGTTTCAAATGTTGATTGGGTTATATAAGAAATTGAATTCTGTATTTGGGCACATAAGGGATGTAGAGAGTGATATAATCTACTTGTACATTGAATTTGGTGCATGGAATTTAAGGTTGCTCTTATTGACTGTAATTAAGCTTGTGGTAAACGGCTAGTAACTTTGAAATCAAGCTCTTATTTTAGCAGAAGTAATTAATGTGGTGGTTGTGTATATAATCTTAATGCTATTACCATTATTTTTGTTTCAATTAAAAATGTTAATAGAACGAAATTGAAAAATAGCTAGCGTCGGGTTAGCATAGATTAAAATTTTAGCTTCCAGAGCAAACTATTGTTTTTCTTTTAAAATCTGATTTTTGTGTGTGAAGGGTTTGTTGAGTTATTGTCTGATTTCCTTTCTCTTCTTTCAATTATGTGGATACCTTCTAATTAGGGGTGGCAAAATAGATGAATATGGATTGGATTGTTAATGGATGGATTAAAACAATTCATTAATCCATTAACAATTCACTAAATTTTGTTCAAAATTATCCAATCCATTCATTAAGAATAAAATTCATTCATTTACATATTTTTAATGGATGGATATCCATCCATCCAACTTTTTTTTTCTTCAAAAAACTAAATATATTTTTTTATTTTTAAAAGTTAATTTTATTTTAATTTTGAAAAATTCATTTTTTGTATTTAAAAAAAATTGTTTTTTAATATATTCATGAAAAAAATTGAATTTTTTGTATTTTTTTAAAAAAATTGATATTTTAATTTTTAAAAAATATTGATTTTTTTTTTGGGAAAAAAATGGTTTTTTGTTTCGGAAAAAAATCGTTTTTTTTAACAAGTCGTTTTTTTTTTCGAAAAACAAATCAATTTTTTATTTTGAAAAAAAAATCATTTTTTTGTCGAAAAAAACAACCAAAACTTTTTCTCAAAATTTTTTTTTTGAAAAAATTCTGATTTTTTTATTAGAAAAAAATCAATTCTTTTCTTTTAAAAAATTTATTTTTAATTATTTTTTAAAAAACAAATCTAACGAAAATAAAGATAATCTGTTGAATCTTTAAAATATGTTGGAGAGGCCCCGAACGGAAGTAGTGAGGGAGCGCACCAGATTCCCGACGAGACAAGTTCGCGGGAGGCGGCAGAACACTGCAGCAATCCTGACCAGGAATCCGCGCGTCGAACCCCCGATCAGAAGGCCGAGGACCCGAAACCAGGTGTCTATCCTAAACGGCCCATCTCATCCTCGGTCACCCACTCTCAGCGACGAAGATGATTACCGGACTCCCTTGTCCCGGGAAATCATGGCCGCCCCCATCCCCCACGGGATGGAGAAGCCCCCGACGCTCTCGACGTACGACGGTACCTCCGACCCGGATGATCACCTGGAAGACATCGAGGCCTTACTCGATTACCGAAACGTCCGAGGAGCTATCAAGTGCAGGCTATTCTCGACGACCCTAAAGAAAGGCGCCATGACATGGTACAAAAGTCTGGAGCCCGAATCGATTACGTCGTGGAGGGTCTTGAAGGACCTGTTTTCAAAACACTTCACAACGTCCCGACGCCACCCGAAGACAGAAGCCGCCCTCGGCGCGATAATCCAAGCCCCCAACGAGCCTCTCCGAAAGTACATTGAAAGATTCACCCGGGAAGCAGTGCAGGTGACGACGTCAGACGAGATGAAGTGTTACCTAATGGAGCATGGTCTACGCCGCGACTCTAAGTTCTACGAGGCCGTGGGCATACACCGACCAACTTCCCTGCAGGATTTCCTCGACAGAGTCGCGCATTATATCCGGTTCGAGGAAACCCAAGCAGCCAACTCCGCACGAGACACCTGAGACAGGGAGGCCCCCCCGCGGACATCGAGATGACGGAGCCTCAAGCCAGCGGCGGGGAGGTGACCGCCGTCGGGAAGATCGCCCCCGCGAACAACGCGAACAGTGCGGTCCCGCCGGCCGATTCACGGAATACACGGCCTTAGTCGCTTCCCGCGAGCGCATACTGGCCGAGTGCGCCAAAACCGAATTTGCCCAGGGAGGTGTCCGTTTCCCCAGGCCGACGCCCCCAAACCCAACGTGGACAAGTCGAAATACTGCCGATTCCACAGGAGCCACGAGCACGTGACAGAAGACTGCATCCATCTCAAGAACGCGATCGAAACCCTGATTAAAGACGGCCACCTAAAGAGGTACACCCGGAGGGGTGAGGCCCCAAGGCAAGAAGCCCCCGAGGCTAATAACGTCGAAGGACTCCCCTCTTCCAACGGCGACAACGGACTCCAGGTCGCACTGTGCGTCAGCCGCCCCGAAGACTGGTTCGCGGACAGAGAGTTCGGCCTCCCCGACGGCCCCGACCTACCCGGCGAGCCACTACGGCCAACCAGTCGGTGGGAATACTTTGCTAGAGCCATGGTCATCTCGGGCGGCGCCACAAGGAACCTGTCCATAGGATCGGTGAAAAGAAAATTCGACGAGCTTATCACAAGCAACTCTGGTAAGATGAGCACGCTCGAAAGATTTCGCGGCCGATCCAATCCGATCACATTCTACCTCGAGGAACTCTCCGGGGGCTCCCCCAACTCCAACATCCCCCTGCTCATACGGGCGCGGATGGCAAACTTTGACGGAGGCAGCTCAGTGGACATCATGTACACCCACCTCTTCACGACCCTCCAACTCGACGAATCCAACTTGTCCCCTTACGTAGGCTCCGACCTTCAGGGGTTCAACGAGACGACGACGAGACCTTGGGGGTACGTGGAGCTGAAAGTCACGTTTGGGGAAGAGGAAACGACCAGGGAGATCAGCATCCGTTTCTTAGTCATCGAGTGCCCGTCCCTCTACAACTGTATCCTGGGCAGAACGACGATATCAGAACTCATCGCGGTCCCTTCCACCGTCCACCTAAAGATGAAGTACTACACGAAGCGGGGGGCCGTGGTGACCTTTAACAGGGACATCGAGGCCGCCCAGAGGTGCTTCGAGGCCGCGCTGAAGGGTTTGGACACCATCGCTCCAGCAACTAAGAAGGCAACCCCAACCATAACGCCGAAGAACGAACCAAAGGAGCTCGTCGGATCCGTGGACCTCGACAGCCGCTTCACCGAAGAGCACGATCACGAAATAAAGGCCAGCGAAGCCAACCAGTCCAACGGGCAGCCCACCCACCCGGCACGCCCCATCCCAGACGGTGAATTCGAGATCGTCACACTCAGGGAGGACAAGAGCAGAACCGTGAAGATCGGCGTCAGACTCCCAGACTTAGCGAAAAAAACAGCTATAGGTCTGCCTCCGCGAGAACGCCGACCTCTTCGCCTGGAGCGCCGCAGAAATGCCCAGACTCGACCCCGAAGTTGCCTGCCATCAGCTGTCCATCAGCCCGACCGCGAAGGCCGTAGTTCAACGTAGGCGTAGACAGTCCCCCGAAAAGGCGGCGGCTGAAAAAGCTGTAAAAGACCTCTTAGAGGCAAATTTTATTTCGGAAGCCCGGTATTCAACTTGTCTATCCAACGTTGTACTCGTTAAAAAGAATAATGGAAAATGGCGCATGTGTGTTGACTATACCGATCTCAACCGAGCATGTCCTAAGGACGCCTACCCCCTCCCCAACATCGACAAACTCGTCGACAACTCCGCGGGCTTCAAGCTCTTGTCCTTCATGGACGCATACTCGGGCTACAACCAGATCTCGATGGCCGAGCACGACAAACAGAGCACGTCCTTCATGACGGCGTCGAGCAACTATTACTACAACGTAATTCCCTTCGGCCTAAAGAACGCCGGCGCCACGTACCAACGGATGATGAACAATGTCTTCCGGGGAGAAATTGGCGACATGCTCAAAGTGTACATGGACGACATGATCGTCAAATCCTGCACGGAAGTCGACCACACAGCCCATCTCAGAAAGGTCTTCGACACAGCGAGGAACTGCCGAATGCACTCCAACCCGGAGAAATGCACCTTCGGTGTCCGCGCAGGAAAATTCCTCGGCTACTACCTGACCGAGTGTGGGATCGAGGCGAATCCGGACAAGTGCCACGCCTTTTCGGAAATCACCACCCCACCACAAAGAAGTCCATCCAATCCCTCAACGGCCTGCTCGCCTCACTTTCTCGGTTCATCGCCAAATCTGCACAGCACGCCCTCCCCTTTTTCAAACTACTCAGGAAGGAAACCACGTTCGAATGGACAGAGGAGTGCGAGCAAGCCCTCCGCCACCTCAAACGCGTCCTGTCCGAACTGCCAGTGTTGACACGACCCGTGATGGGCGAAACCCTATACCTATACCTGGCTGTAGCTAACGAGGCCGTCAGCGCCGTTCTCATCAGAGAAACCGAAGAGGGGCAAAAGCTAATCTACTTCACGAGCAAAGCCCTCCACGGTCCCGAAGTCCGATACCATCTGATCGAAAAAGTAGCCCTAACCCTCATCACCGCCACACGACGGCTCCGACATTACTTCCTAGCACACACCATCGTGCTCCGCACCGATTAGCCCATCCGCCAGCTCCTCGGCCGGCCCGACATGGCTGGACGCATGTTGAAATGGTCGTTAGAGATATCTGAGTTCGACATCATCTACGAAGGTCAGAAAGCCATCAAAGCCCAAGCCCTGGCCGATTTTGTTGCCGAGATGACCTCCTCACCCGACCCTACCACGGGGAGCCACATATGGACCATTTTCCTGGACGGCTCCTCCAACTCCACGGGCAGCGGAGCAGGCATCATCCTCGACAACGAAAAGGGCACCATCATAGAGGTTTCCCTCACGCTGGCTTTCCCAACGACTAACAACCAAGCGGAGTACGAAGCGTTCCTGGCCGGACTTCGCCTGGCATCAGACCTCGGGGCCAGAGAAATTAAAATCTACACAGATTCCCAGCTGATTGCCTCGCAAGTACGAGGAGAATATCAAGCGAAAAACGACAACCTCGCCGAATACTTAGCACTTATCACCGAAAAACTACAAAGTTTCGACTCCGCGGAGATTCAGCACGTCCCGCGC